TTTTTTTTTTTTTTTGTTTTTTTTTGTTTTTTTTTTTTTTTGTTGTAGTGTTTGTTTGTTTGGTTTGTTTGTTTGTGTGTGTGTGTATGTGTGTGTGTGTGTGTGTGTGTGTGTGTGTGTGTCTGTCTGTCTGTCTGTCTGTCTGTCTGTGTGTGTGTGCGCGCGCGTGTGTGTGTGTGTGTGTGTGTGTGTGTTGTGTGCGTGTGCGTGTGTGTGTGTGTGTGTGTGTGTGTGTGTGTGTGTGTGTGTGTGTGTGTGTGTGTGCGCGCGTATCTTCCGGCCGCGCGCGCCCGCTTCCGCTTCTTTCGACCTGCTCCGCCTCATAGCCGTGCGCGGGGGCGCCGCGACCGCCAAAAAGTGTGTGTGTGTGTGTGTCTGTGTGTGGAGTGGACATCTCGGCTGGGGCGACCAGAGGGCGCCCTTCTCCACTCGCCGGGGAGGCGCCCATCTCCCAGGCCAGCGCGGAATGGGGAGGTGAGGGAGGACGATGCCGAGGGGGTGGGGGGGAGAGGAGGGAAGGAAGGGGCGGGGAGGGGAGGGGATGCGGGATCCAGTCCGATCCGATCGATCCGATTCGACATCGATCCTGGCCCGCCCGATCCGATTCGATCCCGACGTTCCGGCGATCCGCTGCGGCCCGATGCTGGCCTGGCGCGGTCTGTGCACCGCGCATCCTGGCGCAGCCGACCCCATTCGACGTGGACTCCGTGTCGCAGCCCGATCCGAAGCGCAGTCCGATTCGACGCGACTTGCGCGCTGTGGCCCCGCTCCCGCAGGCACGTCCCGACACGCGGGGATCGGCACCACCCAACCGGGCTTCTGCTAGGTGTGCGTCGGCTCCGCAAGGGCGACGCGCGCCTGGTACAGGATCGGCGCGCAGTTCTCCAGATTTCGTAATAAAGGGAGGGGGGTTTCATTTCGGGGGGGGTCTCTTCCAGGCTATCTTGGAGGGCCTGGGGGGGTCTGGGGACGATGTTTTGGAGGGTTCTCCCACGGGGGAGGTCTGAAATGGCTTGTCTTGGAGGGTCCAGACCCCCTCCCTTTTATTACGAAATCTGGGGTACCCTTGTGTCCTGTGCCTCGCGACGCGTGCCTTCTTGCACTCCTATGGCGATGTGGCCCTCGAAAGGGTCTCGTGTCCTCTCGCGTGCCCTGTTCGATCAAGGCCGACTGTAGTACCAGTAGGGTCTTCTGCGAACCATGAGACCCTGCTCCCGCGGGCACGCCCCGACAAGCAGGGGACCCACTCCGCCAGCTCACCGCGGGAGGTTCGGGAGGGGGAAACACACAGACACGTTTAATCGTCGAACCCCAGGAAAAATGTGGGAACATCTGGGAAGTGGGGGGGAAGACGAACATCCAACAAAAATATGGGAAACTATTGGGGAATCCTGTTATTTATCGGGGGAGCGTAAGATCCGGGTTTGCCAGGACTCGGGTTCGCCATCGTTTTTTGACGACCGCGACTCGGATTTTGACGAGGAGGAGTTTTGTGGGATGTCTGCAGCGGGAGGCCTCGTCAAAATGCAGGCTCGGCCTCGTCATTTTTCTGACGACCTCGTCGGGGATCTCCGAGTCCCCCGTACCCAGGTCTTACGTCTCCCCGAATTATTTGTGTGCAATTATTTGTGTGTCCTTGGGCCCCTTTGGAGGTGCTCCCCGCCCCA